GTGTTGTTTCAGCCATAAAGATTGCCGTTTTCTCAAATGACCTAATCCTCCGATCATATCCCTTCTGTGCAAATATAGTTTTTCCAAATTATCAACCCATATATTAAATAATTCCAATGTCGGTGCGACTAAGTGAAGAGTTTTATATTTCCCAAAATCAACATAAATGATGGTGAACCATCGAGGCTCAATATCCACACTAAGCTTAAAATGTTCCCTATAACTTCTTATCGCTTCACCAATTCGAAGCTCCTTAATACTTTCAATGTTTACTAATGAAGACAGACAAGCATGAGAATTAAAATGAAGATCAAAATACTTTTATCAAATTAGTAAGATAATATTTGCCTTTTCCGGATTTTTTGGAATCCCATAGTATTCGACCTTGATCAACGTCGATCCTGAAGATTTTTTGTTGTTTCTTTTTTAATGAAACTTTTAAAAGAGCAGTTCCCTCGGCGAGACATGGTTCGACGACAATCTCGCTTGTAGTTCCCTCCTCGAGACATGATTCGACGACAATCTCACTTGTTTGGATTTCGAGAGGAGGGTTTGAAGTGGAAAAGCGCTTTGGTCGACGAAAGGTAAGGGGCATGTCAAATATGGTGCCCTCGGGTTTAAATCTCCATAAAAAATACTTTACAAAAAATACTACTCCTCTCTTGAAAAATTTATAAGATATAAAAATAATCCACAAGATTTGTTCTTCTTGTCTTTAAGAACAAAACTTGTGGTTCGAATTTAATTTAAAGCTTGACTAATGGTGAGTAACCTTTTAAACTCTTGCTATTTTATCATAAAATTTGTGAGAATGTGAGTTTTTCTTTTAGCATTAGTATCGGAAAATTTTTTGGCAGATCGGCCGATTTTTAATACTAATCAGGATCTACGTAATAAAAGACTTTACATGATCATGATTGGCTGTTTAAATCAATTATAATTCTATATATGTCGTATGTGGATTTATTTCTGCTTACAACATAATTAATATTTATATATACTATAAATATAAAGAAAAAAAA